ATTTTGAAAGTTGTCTCTAAAGCCACTGGTAAAAAGCTGCCCCCTCTTTTGAACCGATAAACCAGAGCTGAAAGGTTATGCCAGTCTTCTGTCTGACTGGAAAGGAAAGTGCCAAGAAGAAAAGACAGGCACTTCTCAGGAAGACCATACATCCCGCATCCTGTAGAGAAAGGCATCAAGGAAGCTATTCTGGCAATGTCAACTGTGGGAGCTGCCTGTGCAGGTGACTTAGCACTTCTGCAATTGGAAATGGATTTCCAAAATGTCTACTACATAGAGAAAAGGTGAGGGGGAAAAAAAAATAGAAGACCCAAAACAATATATTTGGCAAGCACATTGCACAAACTGCTAGTACATGCTGCGGTCCCAGACCCAGTGGGCTGTGCTTACCTCATTCGTTTCACGTAGGTGAACCTAGCCAGGATGTTTTCTTTAGTCGTGGGCAGTGTGACAAGAATGGGACATCCAAATAAGGTCACTCAGGATGTGTTTAACAACACCGGGTAAAGTCTGTGGCAAAGGCTCATGCACACACATACACACAGAGCATCCACTGTACATACCGTTGACTTAGTGCGTCATTATTCCTAGAATAACTTCTGGAGAGGCACTCCACCCTTGTATTTCCAATGCTGAAAATGTGATTGTCCCAGAGCCAGTTATTACAGTGATTTTAAGGAAGGGGAGGCAGAGGGAAGGGCCCCTGATTTCTCTGACCTCTTTGAAAAGATGCAATGCAAATAAAATTGTTAAAAGCGGAGCTAGATTCAAATCTGTCAGCCCAAACTCCCATGTGATCTTTGAAACAGCAGAGAGCAAGAGGCTTTCCTGAGTCCATCCCAGATAGCACAGAGTTCTGCAGAAGAACAAGCCACACACCTGTTTAAATAGAAGTCAATATGCTTTATTAAGCAACAGTGCTACCAGGTCCTCCTACATGATGAAAGGTAGTCCAGCAGCGTGAGGGAACGTGCATTTTTACTCGTAGGACAATCCTGGAAGGCAACCTCATTATATTGAGCAAGAAACTCCTTTTCTTTTCAGCCTGAAAATTTTTGATGGTGCATAAAGCACTTTCAAGGGGTCTGCAAAAGGTAACTGAGAACAAATCACTTGAAGAAACTCAAATCTGTTGTCAAAATCTTGCCTTTCCCTGGTAAATCCTCTGCAGTTGACTGAAGGGATAAGCAATAAAAGAAAGGAGTTACTTTGCTGGCAGTGGGACAAGGGATGATGCACAGTTGCGGAGATCAAGGTTTTATATATTTAAATGATAAGCTTTAATCAAAAAATGGCCTAAGGCTGAAACTCAAAGCAGTCAAAATGGGGGGGAAAGTCAGATCCCAGACTGCTCCAATGACCCTAAATCAGTTCCTTCTGTGTACAGTGTTGGTTATAATTTGCAGTTAAATGACCATATTTTAATAAATTAAAAGACTTTCCACCATTTGGGTTTGTTCAGCAGAGGAAGTTATTACATTCATTTACAGATACAGTGCTTTGTGGCCCATTTTCTGTGTGTCCTGGGCTAGCACTCCCAGCACATGCCGTACCGGCGAGGCACAAGCATCGCAGATGTTACAGTCGAGGCTCCTGGCTCTGCTGAGTGCCCAGATTAATGGGCTTAGCCAGGCCCCTGCTGCCTCCGATGCAAGGAGCAAGGAGGCATCAGGAGCTGAAATGAGGGCATGGCAGAGAGAGGGAGGGGAATGGGACCCACTAAGGGGCAAAGCATCAGTGATTTTCTCAAATTAATTTCAACTCACAAGCTGGGATCCATCTTATCCATCTTTTCCTTTCTACCTTGCTCTGAAGTGAGAATTTCCTCACTTTACCTCAGTGGATCCTCACATCTTCCACGAGTGGTACCTCAAGGGTGTCTCCCAGATGCCCTGTGCCACTGTGGCACCTGACACTGGCTGTGTAGTATCCCTGCAATGGGAAGTGGAAAATGTGGAAACGTGGCCATCCTGACCACAGAAATGTCCGTGTACAGCCCTGAGGCAGAGGTCAGACCTGCCCTTTCCCACCAGCATGGCTCAGGTTCCACATGTGCTCACAAGGTTGTTTTCACAGCACTCGCTTTCCCTCCTATCTGCTTAAAAGTGTAGGCTCCTCATAGGAGGGACCAACTGTTTTCATGCTTGAACAAAACTTAACACTACCTCAATTATCCATTTGGGCTAAGGTAGCAGTTAAAGAAGAGCAGCCTGATTTTGAGGAAAGCATTTTGGTCTTCAAATTCAGTTGGTTTTTTTTGTTTTGTTTTGTTTTTTCTCCTAAACCAAGCAAAGTCTGTAAGACTACAGCTAATTCTTTACTGAGAACTGAGAAAAGTTGTCTCAATTCATCAGGAATCTCAGAACAATAGAGAGACAACTGAAAAAGCAGTATTGACATACGTGGTGAAAGTTGGAGAAATATTGTCGTTACTGATGCAAAGCATAACGATGGTGGAGTCCCCATCCCTGGAGGTGTTTAAGAGTCGGGTTGACCCAACGCTGAGGGATCTGGTGGAGTTGGGAACTGTCAGTGCTGGGTTAACTGTTGGACTTGATGATCTTCAAGGTCCTTTCCAACCGACATATTCTGTGATTCTGTGATACACGAGGAAAGAGTTTGTCATCACTACTATTAGACTAAGACACAGCTGAAGAAGTAAACAAGCTTTCATACACCCAGTTACTTCATCAACAGCTGAAGGGGTAGGAGAAGGTAAGTGGTGTACCAACAGGAGGATAAATGGATCAGCCTGGAATAAAAAAGAAATGAACTGTTAAAAATCCCACAAACAGTGAGCATTTATAGGTCTACAACAAAAATAAATCTATGAAAAGGCAAAATTTAAATTATCGTCCTCACAAGCAGACTTAAATAAATTCTCTTTGGCCCAGCAGCTTAAGCACAACTCAGCAAAGGCTGGAGTTTTGCCGACCCTATGGGAAACCTTTGAAAATGATGAACAATTTAAGCATGTGAAAGTAGTTTTTGCTTCTTAGACATATAAAAAAAATGAAACAGCTGCTGACAACTGACATGGGCTAAAATGGGTTTTGAATAAATTTGTGAAACATCTGAGAACTCTTTCTCCGCAGCCAGAGAGAGATCAAATCAGTGCATAGTGGCAAACACGGAAAAATTTCATGTTGAATATGAAATATCAAACCAGAAAAACTGTGTTCACGAAAGAATCACAAAAAATTCCAAGATGACACACTCTCCTATAAGTGCTTCTTGCAGAAACTCTTGCAGCTACTTCTGAGTTACACGTACCCACATTTTCATGGTAGTCTAGTGAAAGGGAGCAAAAGAAAAACCAAACAAAAACCCAGCAACAGCAAACCCCCAAACATATGGTTTAATACCAGAGTGAAAAATATTGACAGGTAACTTCAACAATAAATAGATATATCACTTTAAAATAAAAATAACCCTCCTTTCCTTCCAAGCTATCTTTTAAATTACATCATTTCAGATGTTATAACCAGTAAAACATCTGTAGCTTAGATTGCCTCTCAGTGAAGACAGCTTTGTCAGTCTACTCAGTTTAAGATATGACCCTTATACACTTTGGCTAAAAAATGCTGTCATTTACACAGGTGTATATACACTGACGCAAGTCTCTAGATTTACACAGAAGAATTTGGCAGAGTTTTGCTAATTTTAAACAATAAAAAAAATCAGATCAACTTTCGCAGTTGGTTACAGGTGTATCAACCCATAATATCTTTGGTGCTGATGGCACTGCTCCACGGCTTGTTAATGAAACTAAGAATTTTGAATACTGTGTCCAACTACAGACTGAAACTGAACCTAAGATTGCTACAGTCAAAAAATTCAGCTTTCTGTTTTGAAAATTTATTAATTTATTGTTTGTTATTCTTTTCAGGCTTGTATTAAATTTTGAATGAAACCTTAACACAGTCTAGTTTTCTAACGTTATTCCTATCGTCATTGTTTTACCCATATACACAGTGTCCCATTAGTACAGCATTTTCATACAATAAAATGAACCATATTTTTTTAAACTAGAAAATTTGTTTGTGAAGACACAGACCATTGGCAGGACAACTAAAAGGCAGGTATTGTGTCTTGGAACAGTTTTTGACATTGCTCTTCATTTCAGCTTGGTCGTGTAGTGCTTCCAAGCTTGCTTTGCTGTACCTGAAGTGATAAAAATGTGTCAATATGAGCGATTTTAAGGTTTGATTCAGATCCTAGATGTACTGGCCACGATAACCGGTATGACTTTGTAAAAGAATACCAGCCGGATGTGCAATGCAGGAACAAACATGCAGATTTTTGTGTTTTACAGGTAATTTTCAGCCATTTGGCCAACTTTAAATTATTTAGGTAACTTATGAAACCGGAGAAATAAGAGGGACATCTTATTTGAAGTGTATTGTTCTCATATCAAGTTTCCTTTGCTTAAATGGTGTGACACAAATACCAGCCCAAGAGGCTCACAGCTAAACTTATGCCATAATGAAGGAAGAATCAGTCCCAGGACAACCTAATATCAGCTTTTGATACCTTCGCAAAAAAAAAAAAAATAAAAAAATTCTAGCAGTATTTGTTGTTTTCACTAAATCAGAATGTAGTTTGGAAACTGAGAGTGGAGGTGGGAATCTGAATAAACATATCTGGAAAGAAAAGATAATTCAGGTCTGAAGGGTCATTCCCTTCAGCAAAATTAAAGAGCAGTGGATTGCTCTTCCTGGATCTAACAGTAGGGGCGTGGGAAGCTTTCAGATGTCACAGGGTTGTAGATAACATTTGAACATATGATTAGCTTTTGTGAGCTGTCTTTAGAAACCTCACATTTCTCCCCCCGCACCTTAGCCAGAGATCCTTCCCTTGAGGTTTCGGGACACTTAAAATGTTGCTTTGACAAAAATCAAGGATGTGGAGAGGTTTTTCCTGTGTGATGTCACTTTGCTGCTCTTTATAAGCCTCTGCAGAAGAGAAGGGAACCTGAGGATTCACACTCCAGACACAGGCGACCAAGGGCAACCGAGAAGCACAGCGGCGTATCAAGTTGCAGATCCCGACCAAGTGCGAGGAAGGGTGAGCCATGCCACGGAGAAGTCCCTACAGCTGCCTGGGGTACCTGCTGCTGGTACTCTGGAGCCTGAAGGCTACCCTTGCCTTTCCCAACTCCTCTCCACTGCTGAATCCCAGCTGGGGGAATGGGGATCACCTGATGCACCTCTACACAGATACGGAGAGGAACAGCTTCCATCTCCAAATCAATGCTGATGGCTACGTTGATGGTGTTCCTCACCAAACCATTTACAGTAAGTAGCTTGCTATGGACCCTCAGTCTTCATGGGAGCAAGGGTGGGAGAACAAGACTTTTTCTTTCTCGCTGACTGTAGAAAATCCCCTCCTCTTGTTGGGCAGGCAGGTGGGAGAATATAGCTATGGGATGGAAAACGCACAAAATTCTAATCCTCCTTTAGTTTAACAAATAAACAAAATCACTCCAAAGAAATCCAGTGGATAGGGAATTTCTTTTCTCGCCTAAAAAAAGTCCTACGATTCCTGTAATGTTCTGCAAGCAAAAGCTACCTGACTTATCCTTCACTTCATGATTTTACCCACAGCTTCTTGTGGAAGTTCCTATTAGGGGTTGGTGATGACATCCCCCAAATAGCTACTTCCCATTGGAGTGACAGCGTTACCAAAGGAACTGCACTGAGAGAACTCACCACAGCAGTGGTGGAAAACTCATAGCATCTGTAAAATCTTTATTCCGGGGTGGAGGGATGATAATTACTAAAACTAACTCTGATGTGCATAGAACATGGACGTGCAAAGGTTGATTAAAAAGGAGGAAACTACAAAAATCTAGACTGTTGTAAAGGAAGTGCAAAGCCTTTGCGGTTCATGAGAACTATTCCCTAGTAACTAAAGGGTTCTCAGATTGTCTCATCCTAGTTTATTTTCATGGAAAACTAAAAGATTCTTCTTCCTTTGCTGAATAGCTGGCCCAAACACTATCATTAGTAGAAAAATGGGGGTTTTTAAGACTTAGAATTCTTTCATAATTTTCAAAAGTACTTCTCTTTTAGCATCATTCAAATCACAGGTAGCTAGGAGTCATAAAGCCATGTTTGTTATTGTTGCATAGTATCTTCTTCAGACACTCAATTAAAAATGTAATTGTATGTAATTGCGTTTTTACATAAGTATATAAGGAGCAAAGGATGTTTTTAAAAGTTGTAATTTAATCAAGGAGATAAAAGGAACAATTTCTGCTATTTTTAGGAATTACTAATGAAACTCTTGCAGGAATGCTTGCACTGTCTTGTTGTTACTCTTCCTGCATATTTAAAATTTTTATAAAACTCCTTTTAGGTATGTTGGTCAAGAACCAGTGTGATGTTTTAGATACCAACAGACAGCAAAATATGTTTTTCCCATATCTGCCATGGAGCAAATACACCAGTATTTAGAGTGGTGAAGCTGGAAGGGTGGAAATCAGTCAGCGAAAGGGGTCGTGAAAGGGAGGGTGGCTGAATCTTTGCCAGGTCACCGTGGTACCACTGAGATGCTATAGAAATGTGAAGTGCAAAGTTTGCACCAATAAGACCCTGAAGCTGTACAGACTCTCTGTGTACAGTGCTCCTGGGTAGGATCTGAGGGTTACAGCAGGCACCACGTCAACCATAAATCAACAGCACACTCACTTTGAGAGGAAGGCAAAACCACCTACTGTGGTCAGCAGATCAAGGAAAGATTTTGTTTCTGCCTTACTTGGCACCAGTGAAACTGCTCTTGGAGCACTATAGCAACCTCAGCTCAAGGTGGCTGTGGTGAAACTGGAGCCGGTCTGGCAGAGGGTTTTCAGGATGGTCAGGGGCCTTGAGCACCATCTATCGGGAAAGATTGAGGGAGCTGACCTTGTTTAGCAAAAATTAGGTTAAGGATAATCTAATACCACAGGGTGTCACAAAGAGGAGGGAGATAAACTCCCCTTGGTAGTGGTCAGTGACAGAACTAAGGGAAATGTCCCCAGAGTGTGGCTTGGGACTTCAAATGGGATGCTAGGGAAAAAAAAACAAAAAAAAAATGTTGTCTTGGGGAGGTTAGTGCAGCACTTGTAACAGGGCCCCTGGAGAGGTGGTGGCATCTCCATCCTGGGAGCTTTCCAAAACTCAGACAGACAAAGCGACAGCTAACCTGATCTAGGGTGGGGAGAAGTCCTGGGTCATGCGAGAGGCTGGTTCAGAGCCCCAGGGGACACTTCCAGCCAGACCACCTGTGGACCTGCAAGACAACCGTGCAGTGTCAAACTGGGTCCTCGATTCGACATTTTTGTTTTTCTAAACAGGTGCCTTAATGATCAAATCTGAGGGTGCTGGCTCGGTAATAATCACAGGTGTGAAGAGTGGACGCTACCTATGTATGGACATGAAAGGAAACATTTTTGGCTCGGTGAGTGACTTTACTAATACTCAAGACTGAAAGGCAGGTGCAGCCTGTTAACTCTGGTGCCTATTTCCTCAGCTAGAGCAAAGCTGTATAGACACAGTTGGAGGATGCAGATTTAAGCGAGCTGAGGACCTGACACTTAGGTTAAGCTTTCCTCCCTTCTTTGACTGTATTGAGTTGTAGAGCTGCTAAAAATCATCTGAGCTTCTGCTTGGGTAAATGAGGCCAGAATGAGACCCAGTGATGGACCCAGTCTGAATTCCTGCAGCAGCATAGAGCCATGGGTTGGGAGTAGCTCAAAGAGTGCAGCCCTCTGAAAGAAAACAGTGTTATTGTTATAACACCTTTGCTGAAAACACAGGTATGCATCTCAGGTCTACATTTGACTAAGCTTGACCTGTCTGAGTTACAGACCTGGCAGATCAGAAAAACATCTGCTGCAAGATCTCATCCCTCTTTCCATCTTTAATCAGCACTTGTCATTCACCAAAGCCCTCTGCTCACAGGTGTCATTTTTTTTTTTTTTCCCTAAGCATTACTTCAGTCAAGAGGACTGTGTGTTCAACCACAGGACGCTGGAAAATGGATATGATGTGTACCAATCTCCCAAACACAACTTCCTGGTTAGCTTAGGCAGAGTTAAACAAGCTTTCTTCCCCGGAATGAATCCACCACCATATTCCCAGTTTTTGTCCAGGACAAATGAAATCCCTTTATTTCGATTCAACACACCTGAGCCCCACAGAAATACTAGAAGTGCAGATATTGATCCAATGGATCCTCACCAGATCCTGGTCCCGCAGAGAAAGATCTCTGCCTTCGGATCTCAATTGCAGCCGCAAGCAGACTTTTCCCACATACCCAGAGAACCCATGAGAATCAACCAGAACGACGTGGTCAACCCAGATGACCCACACGCGATGATGGATGCCAGGAGGTACGCAAGTCCTCGCTTCTACATAACAAGATAACTGTGGCCCCGCCACTTGCAGACTGAAGGGGTGAATGAATATAACTGGCAAAAGGAACCGTCTAGCACACTCAGTCTGAATGTCAAAATGGCTATTAGAAAGCTGAAAGACATCGGGAAAAAAATCCTTATTTCAAATATTGTACTTACAGATGACAAGTTACTGAAAAAACAAGTTGTGCGTTTCCTAGCTGGAGCTCTGTTTAACTGGAAAGAAGATGCATTTTTGAAAAGAATAATACAAACCAAACATTTTCAGATCTGAATCACCTTAAATATGCATCAGTGAAAAGAAGAATTCACTCAAGTGAAATGAGAAACAGATATTACATTACTGATGTAACTAAGAAGAGACCTGAAGCATCTACAGTTCCAACAGAGACAGGGAATCCTCTTATGAGCAACCACCCCTGGCTGTGCAAGCACAGCAGACAAATTATCATATAAAAATTATGATGTATGTTTTTAGCTGTTCAGTAGGAACTTCAGTCTCTTTTCATGCTCATATGAGTCAAAAAGTGACCACTCTGCTGTCATAGGAGCAGCACACATGGAAAACTGGAGTAACTGACAGGACAACAGGACAGGACCGGTTTTTGTGTAAATGGTGTTGTGCAGAGAGTAATTTCTGACATTTATTGAATCCAAGCTGAGGTTTGAGAAAAAAAAAAAAAAAAAGGACAACAGTCTCACTGTCTCTCAAGTGCTTCTCTATCACACTTCTACATTCTCTAAAATCTAGAATCACAGTATGGGTGATATAATGTAGAGACATTCATTAGTTTTGCATACTTCCAACCCAGAGAGAAGTACTGGGATTACTAATAATCAGTAGTATGTGAAACAGGATGGGTTTTTTTTCACACTGCTGAACTATACAGGGGGAAAAAAATAAAAAAAAAAAAAAAAAAAAAAAAAAAAAAAAAAAGCCTTAAAGGCATCGAAGTATTAATAGCTCGTGAGGACTCTCATCTAATGAGTGAAAATTAGGTTTGTATATAGAAAAGGAAAATCTAAGATTAGCGTCCATCTTTCTATTTAGTTCTGAGCAGGCATCGGACGCTTTATCGTGTTGACAAAACCTTTTCCCTAGATTGGTATATGTTATGGGTAAGTTAATTCATTAGAATCTAACTTCCATATATAGTCCTGAAGTTTAAATCTTTAATTAAGACGTGATATCTGCAGAGCGGAGCTTTTCATTGTAATTCAGACATCAAATGGTTAACTGGTAGAATTCAGTTTAGCTGGAGTGGTTTTAATGGATTTATATTCATTTCCACAAGACTCTGAAAACTGTGTACATACTTGGCTATTTTTCTCCCTTATTTCTTTCCATTTTGATTTGATCTTCCCGTAGTCTTAAATCTGCGTGGCTCTGAAAAAGTTACTCTTGATGTACTCTGGCGGAAATCAATAGCAAGGTACCGATGAGCTGCACAATAATCCGGTGTGGTAAATATTTGAGAAGAGCTTTTTATTCTGGTGTGTGTGCATTTTCTGCATGTCAGGATGCAGATTCTTCTGGTTTGTTTATTTATTATTATTCTGTTTTGTTTATTATCATTGTACATTTAACAGGCTGACAACAGCCCGAAAACGCTACATTTGTCCCAGGTGTGCTCATAGCAATCATGCAAAAGACATCAGGCTGGATTCTGGTCCTGTTCTTTTTTCTGACTCGTGAAGTGATTCACTGAAGTCACTGGAGTTACAGGAGTGTAAGAAAATCAAAATAAGCCCCCCGGTGTTTATTGCTTTCACTGAATTTTTTCTGGATTTAGTACAGGCTCTCTCCTGCTGACAGCATTTAAAATAATATCTTCTCTTTTTTTATTTTTATTTTTTTCCCCCTATATATGTATATATACACAATATCCCTTTATCTACAACATCCAAGTTGCTATGTTAGAAAAGTCACAGGGCCTGTTTCTGCTCTAAGAACACTTTTCGTGTGTGGAGTGATACCCAATTCATAGAAGTTCTTAGAAGCACAGGACAAGCCAAATGATTAAGATGAGACCAAGAGTTCTGTCTCAGAATTCGTTGTTTTTCACCCTTTAAACTCATCACGGTTTTGATTAGTTTCAAAAGGGGAAAAAGTGATTCTAAATGATTTAGGAGAATTGCAGGGTGGGCAGGTAGTTGTGTATTTTCTTGCTTATTCAAAATACAGGAAGATTTTTTACTTTGCTGTCTATACAGTGGAGGTGTTATTTTATTTGTATGTTCTCATTTCATAATTTTACTTGTTTCCTATAACATTCTTTTTGGCTTTTGCTCCTTGAGAACTCTGGACTGCAATTACACGAGCAAAGTTTTAATTTTGCATAAATTGTTGTAAGCTCCACAGGGCTGTCCTGGACTCCAAGTCAATGGACCTACAACAGTTTGAGTCATGAAAAGTTCTGTCTCCATCCATATCAAACTTTGAAGAGAAGTGTCGGTGGGGTTAAATCTCCATACCAAGTCTGTATCCATACATTAGAACAAAGTAAGAAGGGTTGCTCACTCCATCAGTAGCCAGGGGATTTGGTCTCTAAGCTAAGAGTGAATACAAAGTGGATTTTGCGTAAAAAACCCCCCATATTTGTAAATATGACCTGTACTGCAACGTTAAAATAATTAATTCTTCAAAGGAGATGCTGGTAATCACCAGCTATAAGGAAGCATTACTTATTTATATTGCAATATTTATTTATTTATTTGAGTGGGTCTTAAGTCCCACAGAATATTTATAAATGTATTTATAAATATAACAATGTACTATAGAGACTGTTTCCTTTTATATAAGTACCAATAAACTTTTCCTTCTCTCTAAATGGTGGATTCTGCATCTTTTGTTCAAGCTCCATTAATCTGTGAACTGTCTGCTGCAAAGCAGAGCCTTAGCATAGCCCTAGGAATGGAGTTAGAATATTTTGTGTGAGCAGTAAAGGTAATTTCCCAAGTATCTTTTGAGCTATGACTTTAGAGCCAGGATCACAAATATGTTCTTGCAGGACTAAACTGCTAGATCAGTGATTTTCTGTTGCTTTTTGGGTTGCATAAGAAGTTTTGCAGTAGAGGTGACAATCGCTTCATGATCAGTTTAGATCTACTAAGACTTTGTTTTCCTTGTCATCTTTCACAATTGTGGTGCACGAGACACCCAGGAAGCTGCAACATATGAGTCTGAAAATCACAGGGGACAGCGTGACAAAGATTTTCAGACATGGCTACTATAATTTGTTCACTTAAGTCATTCTGGAATGACCTTTCTTGTCATCAGTATCGAAGTGCCTGAGCTTGGAGCCCATAGTAGGCGGTTTCACGCCATGTCTTTGAAATTAATCACTCCTCAAGTTAATCATTTCTTCCTCTGCGTGATATTCTGACCCATATAGTTTATTAATGATGCTTTCTCACTGAGATTTTGACATTCTCATATTTTTATTGAAAGTCACTACCAAAAAAATGCCCCATAGGGAATTTAAATATTAACTCCAGTTCAGTGCTTGACCTTGGACATTACTACTTACTTATACGCCCATAAATTGCTTGCATACCTATTTCACCTTTTTTTTTTTTTTTTTCATAGTAAAATTTATCTTTTCCAGTTGAGATGATGGTTTCCATCATGGCATTGCGTGGTGTTCAATTAAAATTCACCTAGATCATATTCCATCATTTTTTCCTTCCCTAGACAGTTATTTCATCAAAGAACTATCACTTTAGTGTGAACTACTTACAGTAAAAAGGCATTTAATTATATTCCAGGTTTCATTTACCTCTCTTGTCTGTAATTACATTCTCCTTCAGAATTTGTTCTGAAGCCCTGAATGTTATTAAGGTCAAACTAATATTTCTGTAAGATTACTTTGTCCTCTGTTCTCAAATAAAAAATATTTTATTTTCTATTCTCTAGTCATACGGTTCCACGCCCAACATGACAGATCTATTTAAAATACTTGCTTACGGATGTGTAATTTTAGATGTGCTTTCAGAATTCTGGGATAAAGATTAGTCATTTCCCCTGACAAGCATATTAAATTCTTTAATTCTTGGCTTTAAATGTGGTATTTTCCGTATCCTCATTCCTATTATCCATCCTCTTTTACCCTTGTGTTCAATACGGCTGTAAATGAAGTAATTCATTTTGGGGATATAATTTAAGACTATCTAATTTCTATTCCATCCACCCACTGCAATGTTTCTGATACTCCTTTCCTTGTTCTCTATTTTGATATACATATATCTCAAGATGTTTTTGCTACTTCTTTTAATTTGTTTGGCAAATTCTCATCATTTCATAGCTAAGATACAATGTTCTATACGATACAACTTTTTACCTACTCCTTATGGGCTTTCTTCCCAGAATCAGTAACTTGCTCTGAGATGATTGATGATGTAATAGGGCCTAGAGACCCTCCCCATAATTTTTGCTGCATCTTCTATATAATTTTTCCATCTCTGATTTAAACAAACAAAGCTTTCCCCCCTTTCTTCCATATTAAGTCCATCTAAGGCTCTTAAGTATAGCTGACCTTATTAATTTTGTGATTCTTAAGTATAGCCAACCTTATTAAATTCATTTTCCGATTCTTGCCCTTCTGCAATAAAACCTTCTTTCTTACCTCAACTTTTAACTTCTGTAAATTCACTTTTCAGCAACAAGCTCTTCCAAAATACATTCATGATTTATCACAGTCAAGCCTAGTGCATCGCCCCATTCAGTTCAGCTATGGCTTGATCAACCAACTGGTTGTGAGTGGGAAAGAGTATCCCATCCATCATGCCCCAAAAGGGGGTTCTGCCTGGACCTCAGGAGCATTCCTTTAGTGACCAGTAATTGCCTACTTCTGATTTGTGGTTTTATCCTGGTATCCTCCTGTGTCCTTATTCTCAGGACCTCTGCTGTTATTCTCTGATTGTGCTCTCAGAGGCTCCACTACCAGCTTCTGGTGTTCAGGTAGGACATGTGTAGATTCATACAGGGCTCCCTGCACGCCAGGAGATCTCAGAGATGTTTGCAAGTGACACTAGAGCTGTCTCAGCACAGGAGATCTGCCCAAACGGCATTGGATTTACCACGCACAAACAGATCACCCACACAGAGGGTTTGCCATATCCACAGATGTCAGGGAAACAGCTCACACGCTGTGCAGTTGATTTGTGCTCATGCAGCTGCCATTTGCCTGGGATTATTATATATCCAAAAACCTCAGTCTCGTGGCCAAAGCCCTCACAAGAGGGACCCATCTGGGGAAAATCTGACATATTTTAGGTCCAGGCATGTGGGCCGTGGATCTGAGGCAGTCTCATGAAATACCAAAAGCTTGGATAGAGAATGCATCTGATCTAAATTGCGTACTTAAAAAAACCCCAACAACCACCACCTCCTCCTATTGCAAAGACGGGACTATGTCTGGAAAACATAAACCCAACAGAGAACTGTGGGAAAAGAGCAAATATCTTGAAAAAGGGCTGATACTTTAGAGGAAGGAAACTGTGATACTCCCAGCGTGCGCTGCCAAAGCACATGCCTGGTGACTGCTGGACATTCAGCAGACCTGCTGGGAGATGGTGGTGGTGGAGCCAAAACTGAGAACAAGTGTGCTACCCTGCAGTGAACTCTGAACCCCTTTGTCTCTCCTGTCACCTTCCCCAAATCAAGCCCAGCCTGGTAAAGCACTGCTTGAACATGAGCAATGGCTTTATCCAAGGAGGTCACGACTCTCCTACCTTCCGAAGCATTGCTTGTTTGGGAGCAGAATACTCAGCAAAACATTAGCTTAGAAAGGAGCAGACTTGAGTTTCCTCTTGATCTTGGTGATCTCCAGAGTCACTTTTTCTTTCTCTATTGTTGAGATGAAAAAGCCTGTGAGGACAGCTTTTA